CCCACCCCCACACACCCCCCCACAACCAACCACCCCCCCCCACCCCCCCCCACCCCCCCCCCCCCCCCCCCGCCGCCGGGGGCCGCGCCCCCCCCCGAAGACAAAAATGTTTACGGGATATGGGCAGCATTGTTTGTTTTGATTGGAGGGAGTGCTTTGTGGTTTGGACTTGTGCATGTTTACTGGAACTGTCGGGTGGGATCAAGTAATAGATTTGGATACGGAAGCAAGGAACTCGGTAATGGTAGTAGTAATAGTTATGGTTTGGGACCAGGTCTACGTGGTCACTCGGGTGATGTTTTACTTCATAGCATCGTTAAAGATACCTACCTAGGAATGTAGCTTTAATTTACTAGTTGCTTTTTACCCTTATTCAAGCTCTTGGGCCGTCACAATTGATGATAGATGTGAGAGGTAGTTATTAGTTATGATAAAGGGGGTCATGAGTCAGCGAGCGACCTAGAGGCCGTTTGCTTGGACAGGACAAGGTTCTCACCAAGTATCCAGCTGTATCGTAAAAGCCAAACTCAATGCTCAATGATAAATAAGAAATCTGTATTAGACTTCCAACGGAGACGTAGGGGATTACCTTGGGTAGTATAACGAGCGGCATACTACAGCTAGCCCCTTTATCACCTACCTTACCACAAACTCCCAAAGTTTTCTATGCTATACGAATGAAGTTCTTGACACAACGTATAGTACCTAGGTAAGTATATCTTCTATAAAATAATACCTTAAGTACCAATTTACACTATGGCCGGAGTCCAAGCGCAGGCACCCTTCACATAGGTTAGGTTATTTATATCATCGGATTCTTGCTCCCATACAGCGGGACCATCGCCATTCTACGGACAGCTACAATACAGCCATGCTTATGTATGGAGATAGTCTTGACCTGTATCGACTTTCCGGTGACCGGTGAATTACTTGTGGCTCTTTGATGTTATTCTGGCTTTTATTAGTCCTATTCCTGGTCGTTATCTAAAACACAAGTCGGTTTGCAACTCTCTCCAGCTCGAAGATCGAAGAACTTGGCGCTCAGATGAAGGCGAGCCTGAGTCAACCTCCGTGTCGATGAAAGCCAATACCTCGTAATATGCTTTCGCTTCGGGTTGTCGAGGTAGCCCTTGAGAGAAAGAGAGTGCTCAAGTTGCCGGCGTGTGACTGCGGAGAATAGGTCGTGAGGTTTCGAAGTCGATGGGGGAAACGGGTATTATTAACTAAGCCAACTTTCAAAAACATGACGGATCGACAACTCGTTGATTGTGGGCCATCTTCCAGTATCTAGCATTGAGACGAAAGAAGAATGAAGAAAAAAATATGATTTGGTGACTGCGGGAATCGAACCCACACTCCTGAATGAGAACTATCCAGTGCGTTGAACCACTACGCCAAATCACCCTCTCCTTCTCATATCTACGCTCTTGCAGGATTGACGAATAGTTTCGTCGATTCTGAGTGAAATGCCTGCACACCTGCCTGCAAGATCAAAAACTGATAACGGGATAAACTAGGCGTAAGAGACGGGCAAGTAACTCATTCATATCTACTTAGGTCTACTTACTTCGCAGGTGTTACCGAAAATCTGATGACTCGTTCGGGCTGCGCGCTATCTTCCAGAAAAGTAACTCCTGGTCGCCCGTCAATTATATATTTACGTACGCTTAGTCAGAGGTTTCAACCTCGTAGATTTCAGAGGTTAATAAGCTAGGTCGGTTCCGCGGTGCATCTCGGAAGGCCAATTCCCCTTACCTGGGACAGCATACATACCTAGGTAGGTATCGTTTCAACGACGTCGCTCTCAGCACTAGGGATGGCGAGAATGTCCACCCCAGGGCTCTCTAGTGCTAGTCATCGTGTCGTTGCCTGGCTAAGAGCCTCGTTCTTCTGGCTTGTACACATCGGCGCCTGCGGAAAGCGTCCCCGCAAGCTCTTCGGTGTCAATGAGAAGCCGGCGAATAAGATGTTGATAGCAACATTTCGACAGGCAGCGGGCATCTTCCTATTCCTCCATGCCACATTCGGGGGCTTCAGTGTATTGGTTAGACATGCCTCAGTAGGTACTTGCCCACCGAAGCCTTCTAGGACCACAAGACTTCCGCTTAAATAGTATGCGGTGAACAGGTAGGTACCATAAAATATTATTGAGTACCTGAACCTCATATCTCCGCACTTGGTAAGTTATCACACCGGTCTCGCTTCAGGTTAGCGTGTCCCCTTTTCTCCTCTCTGGATTCTCGCAATCTGATTCCTTGTATAATCCATTTTATCATATTCAGCTCTGGACCAAGGGAATCCGATGGCACCTCATCCTTCGTGTCTTAGATGGGAGATAAGATGAGGAGAAATAGGATATCTCTTTTGCTCTTGTTCCCAGTCTATGATTCCGTTCGCTGCGACGTTGTCTTCCAGGGGCTTCAGCGCCAAGAGCAGATCTCTTTGCAGGGGACTGAATTGATTACTGGAAATGACATACTGGTCTTCTTTTCCAGTGCGACGAAAATCGTAGATTGCATCATCAAGCGCCGAGTGCAGAGAATGAATCATATCCCATAGCATGTGTGGCTGGCCATGATAACGTTCTTGGTACTCCTTCAGAACCCCATACAGTTTTGGGTTGGACTCTTCGGTACCCTCCCTGATATTAAGGCCGTTTCCACCGTCAAAGACTCTATTTCTCAAGAAGCTTGTCCACTTTTCGGCTGGCTTTCGACCGTTCTCCTTAGATGTAATATTCTCTAAGACACGTTGATAGGCTAGCGCCGTGATGGCACGTCGTTGCTGGCTAACCCGGGTTCGGAGAACGATTATCAATCTGTGTAGATCTGGCAGGCTCAACGTTTTTCGAAGGTGCTGGAGGTGTTGAAATGGACCATCGTAATTGCTTGCCTTGGGGCTTCCTGCGGCGAGGCAAAACTGGCCTGTGCTGTCGAGCACCCGGTTCCATTGGCTGCGTTTCTCTGCATTGTCGTAACACGAAAGCCACATGGAGAAAACTTCGTGACAGACTTGACTCAAGTCCTTATGTTCTTCGAATCGTTTGCAGAAATCTGCCAGCTCATACCTCTTTGTTTTAAGAGATTGGGCAGTAATCGACGGGTGTATCTGCTCTCCTGGCTGATCGAGAAACCTCTGTACTGCTTGGCGCACGGCCATGTCAATCCCTTCTGTCCCTTTTTTCTTGGAGTAATTGTCTGGATTAATCCATGACCAGTCGTGTAGTTCACCGCCTAAAATAGGATCCGGTAACGGGCCTGACAAACCATCCTCAGTCCTTACCATATGGTAGTCAGTATGATGACTTCTTACAGTATAAGCATGAGGCGACTTACCTGCTACAGTAGCATCGCCATGACTCGCCATAAACACTTTGCATATACGCATCATCGGTGCTACTTATGTCAACCACATGTTTCGTAGCTTCGCTGGATGGCACAGCAGCATCTTTCGAACAAGGGGTCCAGACTTTCATCTCCAGAGCACTAAGATAATACTGATGAAGAACGCCACAGACAGTGTGTCGCCGCAGCTCCGAGCCAAAGATTTTGCAGAGCTGGAGCTTCAGGAAAGTTTGGAGCACCGCAGCGTTCCGAGTAGGATCCTGATTAAAAATACGTGCATCTTCTTGGCGTCTGGACGGTGTGGTGCAGCTAGCAAGCCACGGGTGGTCATGAACGAGGCTTCGCAAAGGGTCGCGGGCCCCACAATACATCAGCAGAGGCAGTACGAAGTTTACAAAGTAGATACTTTGCCATTCGGGACGAAACGTCTGCCAAATGGGCGGAAAGAGCTTTAGCCAGCCCTGCGGATCTAGCCGGGCCAGTAGAATTTCCATATGTATCGCGAAGGCTCGGGTAGCGTTAGAACCCCCATTAACACCTCCAGGAGGTACCACAGGTGAGGCCATCTTGTTGCTTGTCTACCCAATGGTCAATGGTGGAGGTCCCGTTAGGTCGGTCTGGAATGAGGGTAGTCACAATTGAACTGAAATTAAGGGACTCTATATGTACCGGTCAAGACTGTCAAGGCATCACTTACCTGAATATACTAGGCATTTATGTTGTCCATGATACCATAATTGATTTATCAGGTGCTTCTGACAACCGACTGACAAACGGCAGACAAAGGTAAAGGAGACTGCAGTCAGGCATTTTCCAACACAATCTATTAGGCATTTAGCTAGAACTTGGTGATGTTTTAAGTTCTAACACCAGGCACCTAACATGTATATTGGTACTTGGTATAAAGAAGTGTACTACTAGGTAATAGGCCGGAGGGAAACCCCCTAACCTAGAATTTTCGGAGCTCAGATACATGAAACGGGGAGACCCGAACGTTCGGCGGGAGTGGGGCCGTCATATGAATCTAACGAGGAGATTGCCCCACTTAACTTTTTTTTTTCTTTCTTCTCGCTTTCTGCATACCTCAATCAACCACCTCTACGAACGAATAAACACATTTTCTTTGAGTTGCGTTGCTCACTATTATCTGCCGGCCGAAAGAGCTGCTCTAATCAACTGGAATTTATCCGGGCTACGACCTTCTTGGGAGAACTAGTGGTACCTAAGTGCCAGGAATCTCTTCCCACTTCTCCCCTCGACGAACCCATACCGACGATGGCTCAAGGCGCCGTCAAACCTAGAAAGTCCACAGCGACGTCGACCGCGCGCAAAGCCAAGCCGCAACCGCCCAAGAAGGGCGCTCGCGTCGCCAAGGCCAAGAAGGGCTCCGCCGCGGACAAACTGCAGAAGAAATATGCTGCCGGGCTCGTCTCCAAGACCGAGAAGCTGCTGGGCGAACGAGCGGGTCACCTCGAGCTGATCGGGAAGGGAAGAACCAAGGATAAGGATGGGGATGGCAAGGGAAAGACTGCTAGTAAAGGAGGCAGCAGGAAATTTGGCTGAGGCCTGGGAGAGGAGCTTGGCGCAAATACAAAACTACAAGATACCAGCAAAGATGAATTATTACGAAGTTATGGCGGTTAGGCATGCGTCGTCCAGCTTATGAGCAGGCCGGCTGTCCATATTCTACACAAAGCGCAATTGACTATTGCGGTGGGCCTGCTGCTTTGCCAATGGCGAACATGGTGCATTCGAAGGAGGGTTTTGGCATGTCGTGTTTCGACGAAGATGATGCCAATGTCCATACACATCGCCTCACTTAGAAGATCCATATACAGGCCAGACATTCCGGCCTTGGTGGCGAAATGGCTGGTAAACCAAGCATTTAGCAACCTCTATCCACCCATTGTGAAAGGAGGCAGACTGGAAAACGGTGTTGAATTACAGGAGCATGGCAAAATTTCCAGGTGTCTAGAGCTCTAGGTAGTCTATTCAGGAGGAGAGTGCTAGATCTACCAATCGATCAGCCAACATTTTGCACCCCTTCTAGACCTTGATCTCCCTGATTTTATCCTCGAACTACTAGTAAATCTTGCGTGACATCTTACTCTACCTCATACCATCCTTCCACTCCTTGGCAATTTTAGCTAAACTCTTGGTAACAAACTCCAAGTCCTCGTCTCCATTCACCCGCCAGCTCGCCACAGCAATGCGGCACGCCGGCCTGCCGTCCCACTTCGTGCCACTTACATACCACTCACCTGAGCCCTGTATCTTCTGAACCAGCGCCGCGTTCAGCCCTTCGTCGCGCGCCCGGAACAGCACCACGATATGCGTGTCCTCGCTCCCGCGGTTGCCGAAAGGTAGCAGCTCGTACTCGTCCTTTAAGCCAGGGTCGCTAGCAATGGCGGTCGCAATGCCTCGCGCCAGCCGCACCATACGCGCTAGCATGTCGGCGATACCGGCGCGGCCCTCGGACAGCAGCACTGCGTACACGGGAAGCGCGCGGAACCGCCGCGAGTTCTCGAGCCCGATGTTCAGGGGGCTCGGGATCGAGGAGAGGCCGGGCGGGGAGAGGTACACCGCGTTCGGGTTCTGGAATACGGCGTGCAAAATCGAGGACTCGCGCGTGAAGAATATGCCGGTGTCGTACGGCTGTGTTTTGTTATTAAATTGAGGGTTGGAAAGGGGTTAAGGAAACCTGAAGAAAAGAAGATAGGTAGAGATACAGGAAGAGAAAACTGGAACTTACCACGTTCAATAGCTTGTGTCCGTCTATTGTTATACTATCCGCCAACTCAAGACCTGCCGTGGACTCTCTGAGTGACGCAAATTCGTCGGTCGGCGGCAACGCGCGGGCGAAGATACCGAATGCGCCGTCGACGTGAATCCATGCGCCATACTTATCCGCAAGCCCCCGTAATCGTCGCAAGTCTTCCGTGCTGGACGTAGCGAATCGCCCCGTATTGACCTCGCCCGCACTGACGGCGATGATGCTCGCAATATCTTTACGCTGCAATTCCTTTTCCACGGCATGAAGGTCTAACCTCCACGGCTCGG